GCCCAGGCTGGAATGCAGTGGTGCAGTCATCGCTCATTATAACCTCAAACTCCTGGGCTCAAGCGATCCTCCTGGCTCAGCCTTCCAAGTCCTTTGCTCCCCATTGTCTGCTGCCCCCTGAAATGCAAATGCCAGCCCTGTGAGGACAGGGACCTTCTCATCATGTTCACCATTACATCCCCAGTACCTTAGCCCAGCGCTTGGCACAGAGGAGGTGCTCAAAAAGAGTTACTGAGTTAATGAGTGAATGAACACTTTCTTCCCCACAGGCTCTCTTTCGTGCCCACCATCGTCACCTTCCTGCCCTGTCCCTGGTACCTCTATGTCACCACACTGCCTTTGTTAGAGCTAGTTAGCTCCATTGCTACATGCACAGGTCCCCTCCCAACAGCACACACGCATGTTCAAAGCCCAGCCTGCCTTCAATAAGCATGCCTCTTCCCAAATTCTTTCTGTGGCTCTCTGTTGCCCAAATTCAAACTTATACCATAGCATTTCAGGGCCCCAAGAATGACCTAGTGACAGAGAAAAGAATGCTAGGAGGCAGAATCCCTGGGTCCAAATCTGAGCTTGGCCATTTACTTGTCTGTGGCTTTGTATAGGTCACCTAACCACTCTGATCCCCAGTCTTGTTCCGTAATTTTTTTCTTTCCCTGTGAAATAAGTAATAATAACAGCTTTGTCCTTCCTAGGGCTGTGGTGAAGATCTGGTGAGATAGGCTGTGGATGAGCCTTGTAACCTGGTAGGTGCCTTGCAGGCAGAAATAATTCTTTTTGGCTTCCAGTGCCGGGGCTCCTGCCTGTGCTCTGGGTTCCTTGTTCCCTGAACAGGCTTGCACGTTTCCACCTCTATGTATTACATGCTGCAGATTGCATGTATAGGAATGTCCCTCCCTCTCCCAACCCACTTACCACCCTCCCTTTGAAATACTCATCTTTCAGGACACGACCTCCTCCTCCACTGTTACAAAGGCAATCTCACCCTAGTTTAGGCCCCCAGAGCGTTTGGTCCACCTCTCTCAGCCCTTTCCTTTTTTGTTTTTTTTCTGAGACAGGATCTCACTCTGTCACTCAGGCTAGAGTGCAGTGGCATCATCATAGCTCAATGCAACCTGGAATTTCTGGGCTCAAGTCACTGTTGGACAAAAAGTATGTGTGTTCACCATGTTAACCAACACATATGAAGGAGAAAGGAGTAAAAGATGGAATCCTAAGACTATGAAGTCCCTGTCCTCAAGGTCAGAGGCTGCCTGAGGTGACACTAGGAACAAGCTCGAGCTCTGTGCTCAGACCCAGGGCGGAATTCCTGCTCAGTACTTACTCTCCACCAGCCTCCAGTTTTCCATCTGCAACACAGGGATGATAATTGCTACCTCACAAGAGCTGCTGTGAAGTGAAAGTGAGAAAATACATGTCACGGAAGGTTGCTACTAATGCTTTCAATATGTCATGTTATGGAGATTATAGAAGTGCATGTTTATTGCAGACAACACAGAAACAAAACTTCATGTGCCTTTTTCAAGATATGACTCTCTGAAATGTGACTTTACTGGAGTAGTTGTAGTTATTGAAAGACACTGTCCAGGGCTTCAAGTTGTCACTGCAAATGAAGCAGCTGGTTTCCCCGATGCTCCTGAGGTGCTGGAAGACCCCATGACCCCCAGGAAAGTAGCCAGAATGACAGTGGGGCTGCAAGGAGGAGGAAGGGAAGACTCTCTGGGGAGTGGCAGGCCACTATTAGGATGACATCATCACTTTAATCTCTCTGTATACCGTGAGGTTTAAAAGCCTGCAAGCCAAATCTATTCCTGGCACCTCATCTTACAGCAGACTCAGGTTCCAGGAGTTTAAAGGACATGCCCAAAACCACACAGCTGGTTACAGGTTGTGGCATCTC